GTTCTCCCTCTTTTGTTTTTTGGTTTTTTGGAGCTTTTTGGAAGCTGTGCTGGCTCTGGGTTACCCAAGGCAGTGACTTCCCCCAGTTGTGAGCAAAAATCCCAAAGATTTGGGGCAAAGCATTGGGGTGTGCAAAAATCCCAAAGATTTAGGGTAAAGTATTGGGGTGGGTAAAAATCCCAAAGATTTGGGGTAGGTAAAAATTCCAAAAATTTGGAGTAAAATGTGAGGGTAAGCAAAAATCCCAAAGATTTGGGGCAAAGCATTGGGTTGAGCAAAAATCCCATGGATTTGGGGTAAAACATCAGGGTGAGCAAAAATCCCAAAGATCTGGGGCAAAGCATTGGGGTGAGCAAAAATCCCATGGATTTGGGGCCCAGCTGGAGAGAAGGGAGGGTCCATGTGGACACAGCCCTGGAGCACCGGGGAGGAGCAGGAGAGGGGTGGGTGCCTCCTGCCGGCGTTTTTTGGGGTGCAGGAAGCTGTGCACCAGGCAGGGGTGACCCGTCCCAGTGTCCCCTCCCATCCACAGACTGGTTTTGCAATCAGACTGGGAGAGCTTTCATGTCCGTGCCAAGGGAAAAAAACAAACCTAAAAAAACTAAAAAAAAAAAAAAAGGGATAAAAAAAGTTTCTAGTTTAAAAGTTAAAATCTACAAGTGTTAAATCCATCAGAGCTGGGGGGAGGAGATAGGAACTCAAACCCCAGAGCTGGGGAGGGGGAAATGGGGACCCAAATTGAGTTGGGGAGGGGGAGATGGGAATCCAAACCAAGCTGGGGAGGGGGAAATGGGAACTCAAACCCCAGAGCTGGGGACCAAACTGAGCTGGGGAGGGGGAAATGGGGACCCAAATTGAGTTGGGGAGGGGGAGATGGGAATCCAAACCAAGCTGGGGAGGGGGAAATGGGAACTCAAACCCCAGAGCTGGGGACCAAACTGAGCTGGGGAGGGGGAAATGGGGACCCAAACCAAACTGGGGAGGGGGAAATGGGGACCCAAACCAAACTGGGGAGGGGGAAATGGGGACCCAAACCAAACTGGGGAGGGGTAAATGGGAACCTAAATCAAGCTGGGGAGAGGGAGATGGGAATCCAACCTGAGCTGGGTTGAGGGAAATGGGAATCCAAATTGAGCTGGGGAGGGGGAGATGGAAATCCAAATCAACCTGGGGAGGGGGAGATGGGGACCCAAACCCCCAGGGCTGCTGCAGCCCCCGCTGACCCCACACTCACCGAGCAGATGAAGCCTCTCTTTGCCTCTCTCCTTCCCGGGCTGGCCTTTGCTCCTGGAAGGATTTTCTGGGAGAATTTCCTCACTGAAAAGGGGCTCGGGAATTGGGAAGGAGCTGCCCAGAGAGATGGTGGAGTCCCCATCCCTGGAGGTTTTCGAGTTGGGGATCACAGACAGATCTCAGAGCTCAATACATCCGTGAAATTCTGTAGAAACTCTGAATTTGGCTTTTTTTTCTTTTTTCTTTTTTTTTTTTCCCCACAATAACCTTAAGCAAAGCAGGCCACGATAGGTAATTTCTTTTATTGCATTTTATAATGCCGTTGTCCATACAGATTACATGCAGCTAGACCTACTGTACAAGGGTTTACCGTCTGCCCACGCAGACACACGGAGCTCGGAGTACAAATACACAGCCAGGCGATTTCCTTTACACAGCACGGGGAGGGGCAGAGGCAGCCGGGGACGGAGGTTTGGGGGCATTTTTTGTTTTTTTTCTTTACACATCCGCCCCCCCGGAGCTCACCCCACCTCCCCAGCATCACCTTCCCGCCCAGCGCCGCGCAGGATGGGGATAACATGGGGAAAAAACAAACAAAAAAAATTAAAAAAAATAGGAAAAAAAGGTCGTGGAGGGGCTGGCGCTTCCCGGCGGGGGATGTCCCCAATCTGTCGCGGCTCCATCCCCCCCCAGCCCCCGGCTCTGGGCTGTCCCGACCTTCCCCAACGCTTCCAGGACAAAAACCTAGATCCAGGGAGATGCTGCGGGGCGTGAGGTTGGCCAGGGGTGTAAACAAAGCAAAGAAACCCTTTGGTTTGGTGCAGGTTCAGCTGCTGCTCCTCTCCCCCTCCCAGCACTGGGTTCTGACCCACCCCGGTCCCCAGGGTTGGGGAGAAGAAATCATTGAGGAATTAATAAAATAAAATTAAAAATAAACCATGGAAATGTAATTCCTTCAGTGGGAGATACCAGAAAAATGCCTTTAGGTCCAGGGAGGTGCCCTCAGCTGCCCCTCACAGAAGTGCCCCAAGGGTGGAGAGAAACAAGAAATAAATCACAAAAATACAGAATAAACCCCTCCCCAAAAAAAGACCAATTTGTGTTGGTGGGTCGAAAGCCAGAATATCTCTATCTCAATATATACAGACACACAATTCTGCCACGTGTTTGGTCCTTGAGCGTTTGAGGTAAAACTCGCAGAATTCCGGAAAATTCCAACCAGAAGCGAAGCAGAGGGGTGGGAAGGGAGGAGGCAGCGAGGCAGGAGGGGCCACGCAGTACCTGGGCTCAGGTGGGAGCCTGCAGGGGCTGGCTGGGGCTACGAGAAGGAATTCAATTTACCCCTGAGTTTCAAACCAGGCACGTTTCCCTTTGGAATCGTGGAATTCCCGGGGAGTGGGGGGGAAAGGCATCACCTGGAGCCACTTTTCCAAACCTGTGCATTGTGTTTCAAGGGGAAAAAACCATAAAATTATATGGATATATTTATTTTTATATATATAACATAGAGGGAGTGCTCTCGGGTGGGGCCAAGGAGCGTCGGGAATTCTCGGAGCAGAGGGGAAGGAGCTCGGGGGGTTTGGGGGGGATGGTGGTGCAGGGGGATTTTGGACGAATCCGTGGGGATCTGCAGGCCTTGGGATGGATTTTGGGGGTGGTTGTACCTCTGGAAAAGTTTAAAAAAATAATCACACCCCGGGGAGGTGGGGGAAAAAAAAAAGGGAGAGGAGGAAGGTGAAGGAAAAGGAGGAATGGGGGAAAAACCCCCAAAATGAGTGAGGGGGGCTGGAAAAGAGGGACAGGAATTCCCAAAATCCCAAAAGCCTGGATGGGGCAGAGGTTCCCTGTGGAGGGTGAGGGGTGGCCCAGCAGCCCAAAGTCTGGAAGGTTCGGCCCTTCCTGCTCCTTCCCGGGAATAAAGAAAGCAGCAAAAGGTGATAAAAGCCCCATGGCAGCTGGAAACTTGGTCCAACTTAAATTAAAGAGTGGGGGAACAAAGGGGGAAAAGAAAAGAAGGAAAAAATGGGGGGAAGGGAAAAAGAAAAATGGAAAAAAAGGAAAAAAGAAAAAGAGGGGAAAGCAGAAAGAAAAATGGAGGGAAAAGGGGAAAAGTAGGGAGAAGAAGAAAAAAAAGAAAAAGAGAAAAAAGAGAGAAAAGAAAAAATTAAAAAGAGAAAAGGAAATGGAAAAAGGAAAGATGGGGAAAGGAGAATAAAGAAAGATGAGGGCAAAAAGAAAAAAGGAAAATAAGAGGAATAAAGAAAAAATAGAAAAGGAAGAGAGGACAAAGGGGTAATAAGAGAAATAAAGAAAAAAGAAGAAAAAAGGAGAAGAGGAAAAGGGGAAAGACGGGAAAATGGGAAGGGAAAAAAAGAAATACAGAAAAAAAAAGAAAAACAAAACAAACAAAAAAAAGGAGAAAAATAGGAAAAAATAAAGTAGATGGGGAAAATCCACGGCACCACGCAGCTCCTTGGGCAGGACGGGGGGGATTGGGATGGACTGGGATGGACTGGGATGGGATGGACTGGGATGTGCGCAGCAAAAGGGGGGCTCGCTTGGTGCCCCCCAGCCCGGGGGTCTTTGGTGCCCGGCAGAGCCCGGGACGGGGCCGGGCACGGGGAGTGAGCCGGGGATGCTCCGGGAAGGAACGGCTGTCCCGGCGCCGGGAATGCTCCGGGAACGAGCCAGGAATAAACCGGGAATGCCCCGGGAATTTGCCGGGAACTCTCCACGAACGCAGCGCTGTCCCCGCTCCAGGAATGAGCCGGGAATACTCCGGGAATTTACCGGGAACGCTCCATGACCGCAGCGCTGTCGCGGCTCCGGGAATTTGCCGGGAATTTGCCGGGAATTCGCCGGGAATGCGCCGGGAGCGCTCCACGGGCGCGGCGCTGTCCCGGCTCCGGGAATTTGCCGGGAATTTGCCAGGAATTTGCCGGGAATGCGCCGGGAATGCGCCGGGAGCGCTCCACGGGCGCGGCGCTGGTCACAGGCTCGCACCGGCAGCCGCGGGCGCGGGTGACACCTAGAGGGGCTTCGGGGGCAGCAGGGAAAGGCCGGGAGCCGGGCACGGGAGAGACCCCCGGCAGCCCGGAGACCCCCGGGACACACGGGTGGCACAGGGGTGGCACAGGGTGGCACACGGGTGGCACAGGGTGGCACACGGGGTGGCACAGGGACCCCCCAGCCCGCTGGGCACGGAGGATGCGCTGGGCAAGGAAAAGGATAAAAGGATGAGGGGGGTCCAGGCTCACCCCACAGCGCCAGGAGCCCCTCGGGGGGGGTCACAGAGGGGACACACGGGGACAGGTGACCCTGACGGCGCTGGGTGTGGCATTTCCAGCCCAAAACGCGGCTCCCGCGATGCCAACGGTGACACAACTCCCTGGGAATGTCACATCCCAGGAAAACGGGGACAGAGAGGGATGGAGGAGACCCCGGGGTCACTCTGGAGAGCTCAGAGCTGGCCTTAAAAACCAGAGCAGCTCCAGGGCCACCAGAGCAGATCCCTCAGGGCCCTGCTGGGTGCCAGGACAGCCAGAGCCAGCCTGGCTGTGCCAGGGAAGGGAGGATTCCCAGGAAGGGCAGGATTCCCATGGAAAGGAATGATTCCCAGGGTAGGGGATGCTCCTGAGGGAAGGTGATGCTCCCCAAAGCCACCACGGGACACTGGGAATGCCACGCTGCCTCCCAGGAGGAGCCTGGCACTGGGTACCCACATCACCACCCCAGAAAGAAAGAGCAGGGAGAAGAGGGGTGTTTGGTTGTGTTGTTCTCGTTATTATTAATTTTTTTGTGTGTGTGTTTTGTTGTTGTTTTTTGGCATGAATACCATCTGTTCACCTGAACTACGGACCTTCTGTCTCTAAGAAATCTTTTGGTATCTTCCCATCTGGACGCAAACAAAAGGATGAAGAAAAGAAAAGATGAAAAGCACAATTTCCTCCCCCACCAGCAGCAGCAGCAGGCTCGGCTCGGGGGCCACAGCCAGATTTGGCCACCACAGGGATCCTCCAGGGCCAGCTTTGGTGACCCCCAGGTCCCCTGCAGGTGCTCAGCCGTGGGGATGTCACCCCTTGGCTCCACCACGCCCCTGGCCCAGCTTTGGGGGTGCAATGGGAGGCACAGGAAGCCTTTCCCTGAAGTGAAAGGGGAGCAGTGGCCATCCCTGCTGGCTGGGAGGTGGCACCGATGTCCAGCAGGAAGGAGGGAGCTGTGTCCTTGCTGCCAGCACTGCTGGGGATGGTCAGCACTGCTGGGATGGTCAGTACTGGTGGTCAGCACTGCTGGGGATGGTCAGAACTGCTGGGATGGTCAGAACTGCTGGGATGGTCAGTACTGGTGGTCAGTACTGATGGGGATGGTCAGTACTGGTGGTCAGCACTGCTGTGGATGGTCAGAACTGCTGGGATGGTCAGCACTAGTGGTCAGCACTGATGGTCAGAACTGATGGTCAGCACTGCTGGGGATGGTCAGCACTGCTGGGGCCAGCAGCCCCCCACCAGCTGGGGCTCAGGGAGGGTGGGCAAGCCGGGAGGCCACTCTGCTTGCCAGGCAGAGGTGACAAGGGGACACGGTCCCACCACCGCGCCGCTCCGTGTCCATCCCAGCTCCGTGCCAACCCCCACATCCAGCAGAGGGCTCAGCCCCATTTCTGCTCTTTCTCCCCCCAAAGCTGGGTGGAGGCAGCACGTGGGCAGGCCCCACGACCCCTCCATAGTGCAGAACCCAGCGGGGCACGCAGAGGTGACAGCGGGGTGCTGCCACCGCTCCCCGGGGCCCGGGCACCGCGGGGGGACAGGGGACAGAGGTGCCTTCCCTGCAGGGAGGACAGGAACAACCAACCTGCCATCCTCGTCCACCAGTCACTAACCGAGGGAGGAGGGCAGGAAAAGTCCAGCTCTTGGGGTTTTGCTTCTGCTGAGGTGGCGGGGCCAGTCCGTGCCCGGGCAGTGGCAGCGTGAGGGACACGCCAGCAGCAACGGGTTGGTGTCGTTGTCATTGTCATTGTCGTCCCAAGGAAAACCTTTTTGCTTTGTGGAAGTGCCTTGAAAGAACCAGGATAACGCCAAGGTCACCTTGGGGAGGTGGGAGCGTGGCTTGGTCTCCGTCCAGGAGGGTGGGAAGGGTTTTCCCCTCGGTGGGGGAGGAGGAAGGAGTCCTTAGGACAAGTCTTCCACCGGCAGCTCCTCCTCCAGGTCCCTGTCGTCCTGGATCGTCACATTCTGGTTGGTGCTGGCCATCAGTGACACGGGTCTGCTGTCGTCCTCTGCCTCAGCTGGCTCCTCCTTCACGTGCACGGGGTGGCTGTGGGGAGGGGGAGCCTTCAGCCTTGGGGGGTGGGCACCACCAGCCAAAATTCCCTGAATTTTCTGGTCCAGAACCCCCCTCACCCCCCTCACCCCTGGGAGCAGGAGCCCAAACTGCCCTTGCTCTGAGAGCTGCCCTCAAAGCAGCTCCTGGTGGCTGTGGGGAGAGGGAGCCTTTAGCCTGGGGGAGTGGGTCCCACCACCCAAAACTCCCTGAATTATTTGATCCAGAGCCTCCTTGCCTTGGGGACAGGAGCCAAAACGCCCTTTACCCTGAGAGAGTGGGTGCCACCACCCAAAACTTCCCAAATTTTCTGGTCCAGAACCCCCTCACCCTGGTGACAAGAACCCAAACCCCTCATTCTGGTGACAGGAGCCCAAACCCCATCACCCTGGCGACAGGAGCCCAGAGAGCTGGCAGTGCCCAGCGTGCCAGCCCCCCTCAGCACCCCAGTGCCCTGGCAGGGCCAGGCTGACCTGTACTGCTGTGGGGACAGGCGGGGGCTGTTGCTGCCGTTGCTGTTGACCTGCTCCACGGTGCTGCTGACGTCGTCGTGGCCCACGTGCAGCATGGCACTGGCCGAGCTGGTGTTGATCATGGTGGGGCTGTTGAGCAGGGGGAAGCTGCTCTCTGCCAGCGCAGCCTGTGAGGGGAGCACGGATTGGCATGGAGTTTGGGTTGGAAGGTTCTTGAATCACATCTCATCCCACTCCGTCATGGGCAGGGACACCTTCCACTGTCCCAGGTTTTTCCAAGCCCTGCCCAGCCTGGCCTTGGACACTCCCAGGGATGGGGCAGCCACAGCTGCTCTGGGAGTCTGTGCCAGGGCCTGTCCACCCTCACAGGGAATGAATGATCTCTTCCATACATCAAACCTCAATTTCCCCTCTTTCAACTTGAACCCATCCCCCTTGTCCCTCATTTCCTGATGAGATGCAAGACCCCAGTGGAGAGCAGGACTGTGGAGGGTTGAGTGTCCCCGTGTCCCTGTCAGGACCAGGGCTGGGTCCTTACCTGGTAACTTGCATTAAGTGCTCCATAACCGAGTCCTGAAATCATATTTTTGACTAAGGTGGGACTCCTGCAGGAAGAGAGAAAGCAGAGGGATGCAGGGCTGAGCATTCCCAGCCCGGGGACCGGGCTGGTGGCAGCTCTGGGGCTGTGTCCCACGGGGAAGGAGCACCCACCCTGTCATCTTTGGTGGCCTTCTCTTTTGGTACTCGTGCTCGTCCACGGTCCACACGGCGCCCTTGACGTTCTCCACGCGCACGAAGCACTTGTGCAGGCTCAGGTTGTGGCGGACGGCGTTCTGTGGGCACACAGGCCATGACCTCAGTGCCACCCCCTCACCACCCTCCTCCCTGCCCAGCCCCACGGCTCCTGACACCCAAACGCTCCCCAAAGCCCCCTGGGTGCTCCCTGACCCCTCTGGCACTGAGTGGTGACTGCTTGGAGGACTCTGGTTTGATGCTGAGGACGGTGGGGACACGGTGGGACAAGGGCCACCAGCTCTGCTGCAGCTCTGGTGATGCTCAGCAAAGCCAGCTCCTCTTTGCCTTCCTTTTTCTTCCCCCCCACCCCTCCCCTGCCGTTTTGGTCCTTTCCCTCCCTTTCTTCTTTACATCGACCATCTTTACATTTCTAAATGTAAAATAAAGAGACACACACGTAGGCAGACAGCGCAGCCCCGAGAGATACCAGCTCCCTTTTCCCCTTCCAACTCCCTGCCATTTGCTACTGCCCCTATTTCATTACCAATTTTAATTTGCCTCTAATTAAATCCTGTGTATTTTTCCGACTCACTTGCTAATCCATGAGGGAGGCAGGAGGCTGGAGTGGAATCTCTCGGAGCTATAATTACAAAGGGCCTAATCACGCCGGGGCTCTGCCTTTGAATAAATTTCCTTGCATTAAGGTTCTCAGATTCTCTGCCTTGCAAATGAGAATGACCCCAATTTCAGGAAGTTGGCCTCGGAGGGGTTTTTTTTCTCTCCTTTTTTTTTTTTTATTTCGAGTCCTGATTCGTGATGAGAGACTAATTCGTTACGCTAAAACATTAACAGCAATTTAAAAGGTCGAACGGGGGCTGTATAAACAAAGGAGCCTGGCCAGCACAACAAGGCAAAAGGAGACACAAGGACTGAGCCTCCCCCGTGCCTTCGAGTGCCAGAGCGCCCAGAGCTCAGCAAATGGCACCAGCATCGCCCCTTGGCTTAGAATTTGAGGAGAAAAACAAAGCTGGGCTCTTCCCTTGTCATCCATTTGTCCATCCATCCATCCATGGATCCATGGATCTATCCCCCATCCACCATCCATCCATCCATCCATCCATCATCCATCCATCCATCCATCCATCCATCCATCCATCCATCCATCCATCCCTCCCTCCATCCCTCCGTCCATCCATGCCATGGTGCCAGGGTCACACGGTGACAAGCAGCAGGGACAGGCTCCTCTCACCCCTTGGGGACACTGCCAGCAGCTCCCAGGCTCCCTGGGGAGGGCGGTCCAGGCCCAGCTCGGTGGGATCTTGGGGGAGCCCTGGGTGCCAGCAGGACCCTGACTCCTTGGTGAGGCTGAAGCCAGGCCCCGTGTCCCAGCCTTGTGCCACTGCCACCCAAAGGGACATGCTCCCTTTGGGCCATGCCCTGGCACAGGGCCTGTGGCACCCCTTGGCCCCAAACTCTGCACTGGCACCACCCCGACGGGGGGGTTGGGATGCAGAGAGACATCCCAGGAAGCCCAGGAGGGACCCCAGGATGGACAAGCCTCATCCCCGCTCTGTCCTGGCACTGTCCCTGAGCCCTGTCCCCTGTGGGCACACGCAGGATGTCCCTCCCTGCCAGGCAGGGTCCTGCCCACACCCCCTCCTTCCCTTTGCCCAAAAACTGCCCAGGCTGCAGCCAGGAGCGTGGCAGAGCCAGAACCTCCCCTGCCCAGGGTCCCCTTTTTGCCCTGGTGACACCCCCTGCTCTGAGTCACCGGTGAGGATGGGCCTGGGAAGGCTCAGGTGGGGATAAAATAAAATAAAATAAAATTTAAAAAAAATAAATAAAAGAAAATAAAAATGAAAATAAAATAAAAAATGAACATAAAATAAAATAAAAATAACAAAATAAAATAAAATAAAATAAAATAAATAAAATACAAAATAAAATAAAATAAAAATGAAAATAAAATAAAAATGAAAATAAATAAAATAAAAATGAACATAAAATAAAATAAATAAAATACAAATAACAAAATACAATAAATAAAATAAAATAAAATAAATAAAATATAAAATAAAATAAAACAAAATAAAATAAAATAAAATAAAATAAAATAAAGCCTGGCAGTGGGCAGGGTGTGATCCTGCACCCCTGGAGCCCGGCATGCCCCATCCCTGTGCTGCTGCCATGTCCCAGAGCAGGTCCCAGGCCACCCCCCAGTTTGGGGGCAGAGGGGACGTGTCCCCCGCCTCAGCCTGGCTGGGTTTGTGTTCCCAGGCAGTGTTTGCTCAGAGCCAGGCCCAGCTGCTCTGTTTGCTTCTCATCTCTCTCCTCTAATGATGTTTGCTCTGCACCCTCCACCCTCCCTGGGCCCTGCTGGGGTCTCCCCGTGGCTTCCCCACCCTGGTCCCAGCACTCCTGTCCCATCCCAGGGGGGAGCCACAGGAAAAGAGGGGAAAACCCCAGAAAAGTGGGTTTCAAGGAGAGGAAATAAGTTATTTTTTTCCTGTGTATCCCCCTCCTTCAGAAGCCTGGCCTTGGGCACTGCAAATTGTGAAGAGAATTATTCCCCCCTGCCCAGATCTTTTTAATCCCCTGCCATCCCTTTTTGGTGGTAGGACAGGAAAAAATAAAGACTAAAAAAAGGGAAGCAGAAAACTGAGGGATGCCCTTCTCTAACTCTGCCCTTGCTAACACAGGGTATGTGCAAACTGCAAAAAACCCCAAAATCTTTATTCCTTTCAGCAACAAAAAGGCAGGAAAAAGGCATTTTCACCTGCCATTATCTCATTGCAGAGGAGGAAACTGAGGCCCTGGGGGCAGTGATGGCCAGAGAGGGCTCTGCCCCACTGCTGCCACCCTGTCCCCATTCCAGGGGTTTGCCAAAATGCCTGAAATCCACCCAAAAGTCTCCCATGGAAGCAAAGCCTGGATCTGCAGCCCGACACATGGGGGCCCTGAGCTCCTGGAGAATGGATTCCTCCTCCTCAAGCCTCTCCAAAAGCTCCATCTCACTTGCACCTTGCTGATTTTAATTATTTTTATTTAAACTAGCAGGTTTCCCTCTGCCACCTCGCTCCTTGCTGCCCTGAGCAGGAGGGAGCTGAGCTGCCTCTCAGTAAATATGTGCAGCAGGAAACAATAAATAAATAAATCTTCCCTGGCTGAGGCAAGAAGTGAATCACAGAATCACAGAACTGCTCCTTCCACACCCCCTGCTCCTCTCAGATGGCTTTTCCCAGCTCTGATTTCTAAAAAAGCAAAAGGGGAGCAGCCCCAGCACTCATGTGCTGCCCCAAAATTCACTCCAGCAGCCCAGGCTGGTGACAAAACCACCTCAGGGACAAAAACTTTTGTCTGTGAGAGGCTGGGGGGACCTGATGGGCACAGACAGCTGCTTGGGGGGTGGCAGAGGGGCTTCCCTGCTGCTGGTCCCCCTGCCAGCCCCTCCATCCCAGCCACCAGCAGTGTCACCTGCCCCCGGGTTATCATTAACCTTATTTGCTGTTTCCAGTCTCTCACTCCTGCCTCTGCCTTTGCTCTGCACAGAAAATCCCTGGATTTTACCACACAGCCCTTTGCTGTATCCCACTGCAGGCATGATGCATCCCCACAGCCCAGCGAGGCGTTTTGGGGGGCAGAAAAAGTGGGATTTGGTCCTAAAATTATTTCTCACACCATTTTAGAGCTGGGCAATGAATTGGTCCTTGAGCACAGGAGCATCTCCTGCAGCAGCCAGGCCTGGGGTGGGCTGGGGTGAGCCCAGGGTGGGCTGGGGTGAGCCTGGGTGGGCTGGGGTGAGCCCAGGGTGGGCTGGGGTGAGCCTGGGAGGGGTGGAGGTGAGGCCTGAGTGGGTTGAGGTGAGCCTGGGATGGGTGGAGGTGAGGCCTGAGTGGGTTGAGGTGAGCCTGGGATGGGTGGAGGTGAGGCCTGAGTGGGTTGAGGTGAGCCCAAGGTGGGCTGGGGTGAACCAGGATGGGATGGAGTCAGCCTGATCTGGGATGGGGTGAACCCAGAGTGGGTTGGGGTGAGCCTGGGGTTGATGGGGTGAGCCCAGGCTGGGCTGGGGAGAGCCCAGGGTGCCAGGCAGGGGTGCTCTCACCTTCCAGGTGGCTGTGTTCCTCCGGAAGTAGGCGAACATCCGCGTGAACCAGTTATAGATTTCATTCAACGTTAGCTGCCTGTCGGGGGTCTCCAGGATGGCCTGGGCAGCCAGAGAGGGGACAAGGCTGTCACTCGTGGGGTTGGACACCCGTCCCGAGGGGCAGAGCTGGGGTCCAGCAGGTGGGGGGGCGCTGAGGGAGGGTTTTGGGGCGCAGAGCTGGACCCCGAGGCTCTCACCTGCCGGATGAGCGAGGCGTACGTGAAGGGCGGCCGGACGTCGGCGTTTTTGTAAAACTCGTGATTCTGTGCAAGCTCTGCAGGGGGACAACAAACAGAGGGGGGGCTGGAGTGAAGGGACCCCCTGAGCCCCTCAGGAGGGCGCTGAGCCCCAGCCCGGAGCTCACCTGAAGAGATTGGGGTGCAGAACTTCTCCGAGTTCCTCCTGCGGATGGGCCCCACGCTGTGTAAAGTGGAAGAGCTGATGACGGAGGGGCCCTGCCGCAGGGGGGTGATGGGCGCCGTGGCCGACGTGGGGGGATGAGGTAAACCGTCAGGAAACGTGTCAGAAGTGCTCTTGGAGAGGGTGGCACTGGAGACCAGGTTCAGCTGCGGGGACACGCACGGAGGGAAGGGGTTGGGAAGGCTGGGAGAGCCCCTGGGGACACCGGCGGCTCCGGAGGAGGTGGGGAGGGGATGGCAGGGGGGAGGTTGGTGGGCTTGGAAAGGGTGGGATGCAGCCAGGGGGTGGGGATGGACCCGTGGGATGGGGATGGACACATGGGGTGGGAATTCACCCATGGGATGGGCATGAATTCGTGGGATGGGAAAGAATCCATGGGATGGGGGTGAATTTGTGGGATGGGAATTCACCCATTGGATGGGGTGAACCCATGGGATTGGAATTAACTCATGGGATAGGGTGAATTTGTGGGATGGGGGTGCAAGAGTGGGATGGGATGAACCTGTGGAATGGGGATGACTCCCTGGGATGGGAATTAACCCATGGGATGGGGGTAAACCCATGGGATGGGGATGAACCCATGGGATGGGAATGAACCCATGGGATGGGGATGAACCCATGGGAGGGGGATGCACCCGTGGGATGAACCCACAGGATGGGGATGCACCCACCCCATGTCAGAGCTGGTGGAGCAGCTGCATTTGCCAGAGGGTGGCCAAGGCACATCCACCCCCCAGAGCCCAGGCAGGTGACCGTGCACAGGGCAGGGAGGGGACAGCAGCCGTCAGGGAGGGCACATAGAGGGCAGGAAGGGACTCACGCTTACAGGCTGGCTGAAAGGCTTGGGCTCTGAAGGTCTCATGTGAAGGTGAGCCATCATGGCTTGGAGACGCTCGCTCTCCTTGGCCAGCTGGGGGAGGCAGGAAGCAGGACAGGGATGGTCACACAGTGCCAAAGTCACCACGGAGGCATTGCCATGAGCCCCCAGACCTGGTCTGGACAGGCAGCAACCCCCCAAGTGCCACCTCCTGCCTGATGCTGGCTCCTGAGAGCCCCAGTGAGGGCTGCTGCACCCACCATGGTGGGCACAGGGACCACTCCAGCTCCGTGTGTGCACTGGGGGAAAGATCCACAGAGCCATTCCCCGAGCCCCCAGGCTGCCACCCACCAGCAGGGCCACCCACAATAGCCCTGGGCGCTCTTGTCCCCGTGCCTGCTGTCACTGCCCTGTCCCCTGTGCCTCCCCAGCAGCTCCCTGTCCATCGGTCCATCCATCCCCCAGCGTTCCCACATCGCTGTAATTGCTCCCTGCCTGTTTACTCCCTGCACTGAGCAGAGGCTGAAATATTCACTGTGGCACCAGGAGAGATTTTGAGCCCGGCGGAGCCGATGGGATCTGACACCCCACTCCCTTCCCGTCACCTTCCCTTTCCACCGGGACCCCTCAAGCTTGGGGGAGTCCCCACGCTCCAGCCAAGCCCCCTGGCAGAGCTAGGCGAGGAAGGGGTTAAAAGCAGGAGTTTGCAGCAAGTTTGGAGCAGCTCTGCTGCTTTCTGCTGCCGCGGTGCTCATTAGAGCTGACAGCTCTCCCCTCGTGATGCAGCCGGCACAGCGGGAGCTCCGCGCTCCAAACTTTCTAATTGGTGGCTCCGTGGCAGGTTCCTCTCTGCACACACAGCTCTGCTCTCGCCCTTCAGCTTTTTTTTTTATATTATTATTATTTTTTCCCTCCTCCCCTTTTCCTTTCCCTCCCCTCTTTAAGCCCCAGTAATTGCTTTCAAGCTCTGGCTTGAGGCGAGGGGATGGATGGACAGGAGGACACAGCCTCCACTCCCACCCGGGTTTGGATGTGTCCCCCTGTCCCACAGCCCCTGTGAGGCCCCTAATTCTGGGTTGGGGGTCCCAAGGGTGCTGCACATCTCGTCCTGCTGTGTGCTGGGCCAGTGTCCCAGTGTCCCCTGTGGTGTCACACACAGCCACAGCCACACACCACACTGAGCCCCTGCCACCCCCAGGCACTGTCCCACCATGGGTGTGACCCCTGCCACCCCCAGGCACTGTCCCGCTGAGCCCCTGCCAGCCCCAGCACTGTCCCACCACGGGGGTGACCCCTGCCAGCCCCAGCACTGTCCCACCACGGGGGTGACCCCCTGCCCCATCCCATTTTCCAGCCCCCCCATTTCCTCCCCCTTTTTCCCCCTCTCTTCTCCGTTAACTGAGTTAAGCAGAGCACTCTGGGGGCTCAGAGAGGCTGGGAAAAAGCACTATTTAAAGAACTGCCTGGCCAAAAATAGCACCCCAAAGTTGGGCTCCAAAGACCACGCTCAGGCACCAAAATAAGTGGCCTGGTTTTCAAGCAGCCCTGTGGCTCCCAGGGAGGTGGCACAGCCCATGTGGGGACAAACCCTCCTGCCTTCCACATCTGTGGCACCTCCTTTCACCCACAGGACACTTTGGGATGAGAGGGGAATGAATTTGAGGGCTTGATTTCCAATGGTGCAGGATTCCTCTTTGGGATGGGTGCTTAAAACAAGTCCCCACTTGTGTGGTTACAGTCCCCAACCCTGTCACCCTCTCCTGAGGGGGGCAGCTGAAGCACAGGGTGACAAAGAGGTGGCTTTTTGTCCCCGTGGCCGTGGGGGCTGGGGTGGGACACCCACCTGTATCTCCAGCTGCTGTACCACTTGCATCTGGACTCGACACTGGGCCGTGCTTCGGTCATCAAGTGCATGTTCTGTGTTGAGGTGTCTGGGGAGGAGAACATGGAGGTTTGGTTAGGCCTGGGCATGCCCAAAACTCAGCCCCTCTGCTGGGGCCACACCTGGGATCAGCCCTGACCTGCAAATTGCTCAGGGATGCTCCTGCACCGCTGCCCAAAGCGGGGCGAGCACGAGGGAAACTGAGGCACGGAGGTGACTGAGCAAACCAGGCTGTGGCAGCACCCCAAACCTGGGCTGGAGGACACTCAGCCCTTCCCCAGGCAGCCCTGGGGTGTTCAGGAGCAGCCTCAGGCAGAGGGAAAGCCCGTGGATGTTCCTGGAGCAGCTGCTGGCAGGAGGTGCCAGGAGGACCTGAGGAGCAGGTTCCCAGCACAAAGGCAGCGTCATGGGAGGCTGCCTTCCACGCTCTGAGGGAAGCCCTGGGGGCACAAGGTGGCATTTCCAGGCTGTTCCCCATCCTGCCTGGTGTTTATGAGGTGTCTTGTTTAGGAAGCACCAGGACCTTTGGTCCTCACTGCCCTCCCTCCTCCCCAGGGAGGGGAAGGGCTCCTGGTGACAGAGCTGGCACTTGCTGCACAGCCAGGGACACCCTGGCATCACCTCGCCCCCAAACCCAGCAAAGCACCAGCCTGGGGACACAGCCAGCCCTGAGGATGTCACAAGGCCAGGCCATGTCCTTGCTGGGGGGGCACAAACCCAGGAGGGCCTCACTGGAGAGTGGGATGGTTTGGAGAGGGATTATGGGGAAACACCAAGCTTGGAACACCCCAAAAGGTGAGGCTGGGGGGTCCCAGGGGCCGTGTGCCAGATGCTCCCCAGGACTAAGGCTGAGACAGCCCAGGAGAAGGCGCCTCAGCCTCCCCAGGCTGGCTCTGGAGACAGCAGGAGTCTCACCCTGCTGCCTGCGAGAGCCCCGCAGCCCCGGCGTGCTCAGACAAGCCAGGGAAGGAGGCCCTGCTGCCAAAGCCACCCGTGAGCAGAGCCCCCAGAACCCCAGCCCTGCCCCTCTCCCCGCATGGCACAGCCAGGGCACGGCTGCTTCTCCAGGGCAAAAAAGCTATGGGATCCCAGTGGGAATGGAGGCATTTCCAGAGACCCCCATCCTTGCCCACTACGGCCACGCTGCCCCTCCCAGCCCAGCCCAGACCACCCCAGCTGCCCACAGGGATGCCCAGAGGAGGCTCCAGGCTGGGCTTGGCTTTTGGGAGCTTTGCAAGTTTTCTGTCTGTCTGTCCCACACCCCAACTCGTGCCCATGTTGGCAAGGAGGGGACAGAAACCCTTCCCCAGTGCCCAGGGGGGCAGGAAGGGACCCTGGCTGGCACAGCACAGCTCTGCCAGCCCCGTGACCCAGCTCTGGGCATTCCCTGCCAACTCCAGCTCCAGCTCCCACCCTGGAGCTCTCTCATCTGCCCCGTGCCACTGGAACATGCCCTGCCAGGCAGCAGGAGATGCCTTATCTGGGTTCACCCCATGACTCAGAGGCAGAGCAAGGAGGAACACAGGAGGCTGAATCATCCTTCACTCATCCCCGGGCTGCCTTCACACCTCCTCATCCTCCCGGGCAAGGCCTCTAATGGCTTGGCACAGTCCAAGGGATGTTCCCACCAGAGCCAGCCCTCAGAGGGTGGCAGAGGATGGAGGATGAGTTTGGAAAACCCCAAAAGCTGCCCGCTGAGGAGCCTGTGAGCAGACAGCCGGGGAGGCGGGGGAAGGAGCCCGCCAGCCCGTCAGCTCCTTCTGATGTCTTTGCTAAAAATCCTGGCTACAAAGAGATCTAATTGCAAATGAACTAATTAAGTAAACCTCTGACGAAGCGTGAAAACAATTTGTTTGACCCTGACGCTAGCAGAGGGCTCTCCGACAGCAGAGTTAATCAGTCAGCGCCGAGCCCACAAGCGGTGTCAGCGGTGCCATCTGCCATCTGCCGCCTCCCCCCGTGTCCCCAGCAGGGCTGCCAGCCCCCCTCGCCGGCTGCCGGCGCCTGCCCGGGCTCTGGCCTCCTCCACATCATTCACTCAGCCCATGGTTTGGCTTGGAAGTGCTCACAAAGCTCATCCCATCCCACCTTTGCCACGGGCAGGGTCACCTTCACTCCAAGCCAGCCCGGCCTTGGGATTTCCAAGGATGGGACAACACCAGCAGCAACTCCTGCTGTGTCTTCTCCTTCTCCATGAGGTCATCTAGCTCAGGGTACACATTTTGGGATGGCTGAACCCACTCCCAGGATGTTCCCCTCCACCAGCTCCATTCTGTCCCAGCTGAGACAGAAGCAGCTGCCCCAAAAAGGTGACACTTACTTGACAAACTGCCCCAAGTCCTCACAGAGGGTTTCGCAGCCAGGCCACTTGCACTCTCCGTGGCCGTAGAGCGGGTGGGAGCCGGGGGTCTCTTCGTGGGAAGAGCTGCACAAGAGGGAAAGGGGCCTTCAGGTGGGGCAGATGGGATGTTCCAGCATTCCCAGGCATGGGGACAGCCCTGGGACACCCCACAGTGACAGCTCCCTGCCCTCTGTGGGTGCAGCAAAACAGTGCCAGGCCTCTTTTATGGGGAGGGCAGAAACTCCCACCCCTCCCAGCCCTGTGGGTGATGGATCCCAGCCCCTCCAACAATAAAACCACAAAGTGCCAGGGCCCGACCCGACTCTACCTGTCCCTTCTCGGCGTGTGCATGGTGCTCTGTCCATTGGGCAGAGGGTGATGGGAAATGGGAGGCGAGACCTTGGCGGCCGAAAACGAGGTAGAGTTGGAGGTGTTGGTGGTGAGGTCAAGACCTTCCTGCTTAATGCTGTCCTCCACGGGCTGCGTGGCCGTGACCTCCTTCCAGAGCTGCTGGAGGTCTGAGGGACAAACAGCTGTGGCACAGGAGAGAGTGACCAACGTCAGCAGGGACACGAGGCAGCACCCAGGGCTTCCTCCCTGCTCCCTGCCTCCCCAAATCTCACCCAGCACAGGGAGAGCATCACCTGGAGCTGGGCACAGCAAAGGGAGGCTGCACAGCCCCATTGGGAAACCCAGACCAAGGCAGCTGCAGCACTCACAGAGCTGTTCCCAGAAGGGACAAGAGCCTGGCTTCCCAAATCCTGGCACCCTTCTGCCAGAGGAAGAGGTGTTCCTAATCCTGGCACCCCCCTGCCAGAGGAAGAGGAGCCCCAAATCCTGGCACTCCTCTGCCAGAGGAAGAGGTGCCCCAAATCCTGGCACTCCTCAGCCAGAAGAAGAGGTGTCCCAAATCCTGGCACCCTTATGCCAGAGGAAGAGGAGCCCCAACCCTGCACGGCTCCAACTGCTGACACCATCACCCCCCAAACTTTGGTGGCATCACAAAACCCAACAGCACAGCCCCTCCCCAGCCCCCCTCAGCCAGGCTACAGCCCAGGAACCCCCCCGGGCCGTGGTGCTTACCTTGGGGCAGGGTCTGCAGGGGCACCGTGCCCTGCCCCGGCGGGAGGCTCACCAGGCCCTGGCGCTGCAGGTTTAACAGGTGCTGCTGCTGGAGCTGCTGCATCTGCAGGAGCTGCTGCTGGAAGGCCAGCTGCTTGTTCCCCAACGGCTGCTGAGACAAAAGGAGGGACAAATCCAAGCTTTACTGCCGGCCTGGCAGGGCAGGAGGGGGTCGGGGGCCGCGGCGAGGGGCGCTGGCAGCGAGGGGTGGCAGCGCTGGGGACGGTGCCTCCATCCTGCTGCGGGGCCTGCTGGCTCCCGGCTGAGCCGGACGGAGGCTTTGATCTATCGGAAGAGGAGGGGAAGGAAAGGGAAAAGGGGAAGGGAAAAATAAAGCGCTGGAAAGAAAGGGAGATAAAGGAGCTGGGGGGTTTGCTCGGAGCTGTGAGGGGAGGAAGCAGCAAAGCTCAGCTGGGGAGTCCCAAGGGGGAGGCTCAGCTGTGGGGTTGGTGTATAAAAAGGGGGGTCCCAGCAGGCAACAGGCACATAACCCTCCTGTAAGGCAGAAATGTATCCCTGTTTGTCAAAAATGACTGTTATGAGCTCATTCTTGGTGAGGGGCTGAAACTGGTGCAGGGAAAGGGGGTGCCCAGTGCCAGTACTGGTGTCCCCACCCTGGCCACAGCCACCCCCCAAGTAGGTGACTCTCCTTCACCTCCTGGAGCTGGCCAGGCTCTGACCAGCATGGCTGGCCCTAAACTAGTTAGGCAGGATGGGTCCCTGGGGAGGCGCCGAGAAATCCATGAGAATTAAGTGAAGGGGAGAGAATTCAATTAGGGCTGGGGACAGGCAGCTGCTAATCCGAGCTGGCCGGGAGAGGGGAGCTGCCCCGGGGCTGCCCGGCCTCATTAGTGGGGCAGGCGGCTCCGTGACCCTGTGAACCCCCCCAAACCCCCCTGTTTGGGCAGACGGTGCCAGCAGGGAGCCAGGCTGGGGCACATCCCCCCCTCGCTGCACTCTGCAGCCCCCCAAAGGAGTATTTCCATGTTCGAGTTCTGACTGAGCAGCACTGGAGCTCTGCAGTCAGGATGTCCTTGTTTTGTGAGCATCAGGGGATTCAGGCCCCCCAGGCACTGGGAATTCCAGGGAACTGGTGATCCCTGAGGCTGCATCAACAGGGAGCAGCAGACAGACTCTGTGGCAATCCCAGTCCACGACTGAGTTTGGGGCAATCCCAGTCCACGACTGAGTTTGGGGCCACCCCAGTCCACGACTGAGTTTGGGGTCACACCCAGGGTCTCGCTGGGTGCAGGTGGATCCCTGTGGATGTTGTTGATGCTCAGCCTTGGCTTTGTGAATCAGAGGGTGAGGATGGGCTCCAAACCCCTCTCTGCAATGTCAGGCACCACCACAAGCCCTGTCTAGGTTTCAGATAGAGTTTAATTCCAGTTTCTCAGCCTCAGGGAGATGTGTGGACTCTTCCTGTCCTCTCCACCTCTTGGCCACAGTGGAATTGCCTCCCCAGAGTCAGACCTGGATCCTCCCTGGCTCTGTCTCATCCCTGCACCTCTGAGGCTTAAAGATCAAGGCACAAATCAAAGCAATTCCTGCTCAGCGAAGAGAAATCCCTGATCCTGAGCCACGAGGGCTCCAGGCCATGGGATCAGCAGGATGGAGGGAAAAGGGCAGGACCAGGCTGCAGCCTGAGAGCTTTAACAGTGAATTCTCTGTCCCCCAGGGTGTCCCCTCCTGGCGAGGAGAAGCTCTGCCACTGTGTGGGATGGACACGCTGTCCTTGCCTTGCTTAGAAACAGCAGCTGGGAGGGAAGGGAAGGGATGGGATGGGAAGAGAAGGGATGGGAAGAGAAGGGATGGGATGGGATGGGATTCTCCTCCTCTTCCCGGCTCCACCACCGCCCTCCCCGAGGGCCCCGGGGCAAGCCCGAGCTCTGCTCCAGCACAGCCTCACCCGCGTCATTCCAGGCTGAGCTGCTGGCAGTGGATGAGGTCAGGAGGATCCCTGGGCATGGTGCCTGCATGCACAGCCCAGCCAGGCTCTCCTGGCCTGGCCTGGCTGGATTCAGACCCCCTGAGCCCCCCAGGCTGCCCTGCCCCACTCGTGGCTCTGGCAGGGACGCTGTGGAACCTGGTGATGTGAAGGTTGAACCTTCATGTGCCTCAAATCCATGTCCCTGCAGCTTCCACAGACCAGGAACAGGAGGGGCAGCCCCAGGAACACAAATCCAAGCCAAAGCAAGCCTGATCCAAGGGGAAGGCAATCTGCCACCCCTAGGGAACACCTGTGGCACCACAGACCTCGAAACCCCTGAGTGATGGGTGAAGGGATGCAGAGCCACCCACCAGCCCCTGGGCTCCAAGCCAAGCTTTCCCTGGAGAAACCAGGCTGGGGAGAGCCTAATGACAGCCCCAGCTTTCCCAAAAATCTCACAGCCCGCTGATCCTCACTTCTCCCATTTCCCGTTGGAAAAGCCACTCCCAGAGGAGCTGGCTCTGTGATGGGGCCGAATCCTGGGCTTGGCTCCCCCACCTCACTCCCAGCCCATTCCCAGCTCATTCCCAGCTCATTCTCAGCTCGTTCTCAGCCCATTCCCAGCACATTCCTGGCTTGGGGCTGGGGGGTCTGCAGCATCACCTAGGCTTGGTTCGCCCAGCTCACTCCCAGCCCATTCCCAGCCCTCTCCCAGCCCATTCCCGGTGTGGGGCTGGGGGTCTGCAGCACCACCAAGACTTGGCTCCCCCAGCTCATTCTTAGCCCATTCTCAACCCATTCCTGGCTTGGGGCTGGGGGTCTGCAGTGTCACCGACGCTTGGCTCCCCCAGCTCACTCCCAGCCCATTCCCAGCCCTCTCCCAGCCCATTCCCGGGTGGGGTGGGGGTCTGCAGCATCACCGTGCATTAGACGCAGCTGAGTGGGTGCAGCCACCGGGGCAAGAGGCGCCGTCACTTTGATTTATGAGCACATCAGGAGGAGTTTGCGCCGTGACACGCGGGACTGACAGCAGCACTTCATTAAGCTGACACCGGGGTTAGGAGCCAGCAGCCCCCCCTCCCCACCCTGCCTGCCTCAGCACAGGCACAACCCCTGCCTTCGGCAGCTTTGGGGACACACGGAGACCTTTCCAGGAGATTTTGGGGTCTCTTGGAGAAGCCAAGCATCCTGGGAGGAGCAGGATGGGAGACACGAGGGTGAGGGGCTGCAGCACAGCTCCTTGTTTCCTCCTCCCAGAGATTCTGCTCCTGGGATATCAGAGCTGCTCCTCCCAGAGATGCTGTCCCTGCTCCCAGGGTATCAGAGCTGCTCCCACTGGAGATGCTGTCCCTGCTCCCAGCTCCTTCCTGGTCTCCTTCCCACCCACAGATCCCACTCCAAGCTGCTGACTCATGGACAGGAGCCCTTGGAATCGGGCAGAGGGGAAGCAGAAGGCGCTGGGTTTTCAAACCCTGCAGCAGGGCTGGAATTAAATCTGGCCATGGGTTTCCAGGAAAGATCCAAGGGTGGCTCTGTGGAGGCATCCCAGACACTCCAGCTCTTCCCTGAGTTTCAAGGAAGCCACAGCATCACCATTCCCAGCAGGCAAACCTGAACACAGACTTCAGGAACACCAGCTACCCAAATTTTTGGGGTGAAACCAAAGCTTATCCAAGGATTTTGAGGAACACTGACATCCCCTTGCTGAGAACCCCTCAGTGCTTTTCCCAGCAGGAAAGCTGGACACACATCCCTCCAGCAGCATCCAACACCCCTTCCCCCACTGCTACACCCTTTCTTGCTGGATAAATTTCCCATCTCCTCTGTACCATTTAATTAAAAGTTAACACGAGCTTTTTAAAGCAGAGCCCGCTAAGCAAGCGCTTTGTCAGAGCTTAATTATATCCCTGCTCAGTGCTGCAAGAGAACATCGCCAGGGCCAGCAGGAAAGTCCTTGAGGAAGCTCACATTTACACCTCCCCCATTTCCTGGAGCACCAGCAGCTCCTGGAGATGGTTCTGATAACCCTGACCCTGGAAATGCACCAAGAGCCCACAGTGAGAGCCTGCCTGAGGCTGCAGCAGGTGACCCTGAGCCACTGCAGCCAGCCTGGTCCCCTGATGGCAGCGTGGCTTTGCCAGGGAGTCCTCCCTGTGCCACCCCAACACACAGGCTGGGCTTAAAATCTTCCCTCCCTGCCAAAAAGATGAGTTTAGCCCATGGAAGGACACTCAGGGGAGGTGCAGCAACACCAGACATGAATTCTGCAAAACTGCACAGCAAAAAAAACCCATGTGAAGGATTTTGGCAAGAGAGAGGGGCAAAAGTACCCAAGGAGAAGGAAAGGAGCAGTGCTGCCTGCTGCCTGGGCTCTGTCCCCAGCCTCTGTGTGACCAAAACACAGCCACAACCCCTTGGGGGCCATCACTGTGCCCTTGGGGCAAAACCTGCTGTGTAAAGGGGGTTCTGCAAGATTGCTGCAACCACAGGGGCACAGAATGGGTCTGCACCAGGCACTGAGCTGCCCAGCACTGGTGATCCTGGGGGCTCAGAGCCCTGCCCACCTCAGTCTCCTGCTGGAAGAGCCCTTGGCAGGGATCAATCACTGCTGTTTGCCACACTCCCTGGGCTTTGGAGAGCTGCCCTTCCTGGCAGGAAAAGCCCAGCTCTGGTTGCCACCTGACCAGCCCTGCCCACTCACCAGGGCACTGCAGTGCCAGCTCAGCCAGGACTGGGCTGCCCAAGCTGAGCCTGGCAGGGCTGGGCTGGGCTGAGCCTTCCTGATCCCACCACGGGGGATTTGGGGAGCTCCTGCTCTGTGCTGGGGGGATGGCACTGTCCCTGTCACCAGGGAGGGTCCAGTGGCCCCTCCAGTGCTGCCCCACACCCTGTGGATGCACCAGATCACAGAGAGGAGGAAGAGGAGGAGGAAAAGGAGGAAGAACAACAACTCCCAGTGACTGGACTGGTCACCCTTGCACCCCCAGAGCAGGATGTCCCATGTGCCACTGCCATGGGCTCCCTGGGGGTTGTCCCACACCTTGTTTTGTGCTGGTGCCCCTTTGGTGCCAGCCCAGTGCCCTCCAGGTGAGCTCACCTCTTTGGGTTGCTGCTTTCCGGCTTGCTGCTGGGTCAACAGCTGCAGGTGAAGCTGCTCCTGCTGCTTCTTGTAGTATTCCTGCAGCTGGGAAGGGGAGAGAGCAACGGGATCAGCAGTGGGACCACCCCGTGCCCACCTCACCACCCCGTGCCCAGCGCCAAGGCTTTGCCACAGCCACGCCAGCTCCTGGCACTGTCACCAGGCCAGGCTCCCTGTGTCACCCGGTGCAGGACAGGAGGGAAAGCACCCACCAGGGCAGTCAGGGCAGCAGAGGAACCCTGGGCATGCATTGCCAGGGGCTCTGGATCCCCCTGGGCTTTGAGCCCCCCAAACACCCCCAATGCCCACCCTGATGTTTATTTTAATGCCAACCCGCTGTCCCTTGAGAGAAAAGCAGGCTGGGGTGCTCTGGCACACCACAGAGCACTTCAGGGGGGGAAAATTGGGGGAAACTCCAATTTTGGCATGGTGGGACCCCAAAACACCCCTGACAAGTGCTGTGAGAGCCAGCGGGGTCCCAGCTGGGGAGGACCAGGAGCAGCCACAACCCCTGGCCTGTGAGAGCTGGGGGTTCAGCCCTGCAGTCAGAACTGCCCCTCAAATCAAAGCAGAGCTGTTTGCTGGGCCATTAAAACCAGAATAAACCCCCTGGATCCACAGGGAGCCACCAGAGAGGGTCCCAGTGTCCACAGGCAGCGCTGGGAGCTGCCAGCATCGCCACCAGCTCCCACCCTGGCCCCTGAATAAACTGTGGGTGATGGATTTGCTGCGTGCAGGGAGGGGGAGAAAGGCACGGGGAGGTCACTGGGACCCCCCAGCCCCCTCGCACGGGCTCAGGAATGTCCCTGGGGATGCCGGGAAGCCTTTATCAGCTCGGGGCTGCCAGCAGCCAGGGGCTGTTTGTGTCTGAGAACAGGTTTGGAGGGGCTGGCTGTTTACCCCCGAGCCAACCCGAGCCAGGGAGCTGCGGAGTGGCCGGGCTGGGAGCAGGAACATTGGGTCAGGGGTGAGAGGTGTGATGTTTGGTTTGCTGCCGGTGGAGAATGTGAGCTATTCCGGCCTGGGTTGTTTAATTTGCAGTCAAACGTGTTTCTTTATCCGGCTCCAAAGAGGCTTGTGGAAGGACCCACCCAGGGTAGTGTTTACCCTTTGTTCTTTCCCTGGGGCCAACCTTGAATCCTTATCAGGCTGTTTGGAGTAAACAGGTACTGGAGGCAGGAGGAAGGGTGTGGAGGATGCTTGTGGGGTTTCTCCCTCTCTCCCTCCTTCCCGCTGCCGGGAGCTGTTTACCCAAGCAGACATATTTTGTCTCAGAGTGGAAATCTACTTTTTTTTCTTTCTCCTCCTTTTTCTTCCCTCCCCATCTGACTAAAAATCTCTGGAAAAGCCAAGCAGGGCCATGAGAAACAAACCTCAGCTCTGAGCTGGACACAGGCACCTGCCCAAAGCCCAGCAGTGGCCATGGGGGCTCTGCTTGGGGCACATCCAGCCAAGAGCATCCCCCCCGACCCTGGCTTTTCCCAGGAGCTGGGCAGCCCCAGACCAACCCTTGAGCAGGAATTCTGCAGGTTTTGAGACCCTGGCTCAGGGTGGCAGCACCAGCACTGTCAGCACCTGCAGCTCTTTTCATCCCTGGACGTGCTGGGAATCCCAAAGGAAATGAGTGGAGAGCAGAAGGAGGAAAGGACCCATTTTTCTGCCTCCAACAAATTCCAGCATTCCCAGAGCCCGGTGGGAATTGCCTGGCTGGGTTCAGCCCCGCTGCAGCGTTACCTGTTGCAGCATTATTGCCTGCTGCTGCTGCAGGAGGGCCTGGAGCTGGGGTGGGGACAGGATCTGCTGCATCTGCTGCGGCGTGATCATCTGCGGGGACATCATGGCCACGGACACGGGGACCTGTGACAGCAAGGACATGTCACCACTCCCAACCCAGACCTACAAAGCCTGCCCCAAACGCCAACAGTGCCTCTCCCAGAGCATCCTCCATGTCCCCCACTCCTCTGGATGAAGCCACTGTGTGTCCCCTGGGACATGGCAATGGCAGGGAGATGTCCCACGGTGCTGCTGGCACCAGGATGAAGCTTCCTGAACCATGAGCTCTTCTTTAAATGCCATTTAGCTGGGGGAGCTGGGCATCAAACCACAGCTCCCTCCCCTGCTGGGAGCATGGGAAGGGTGGAGGGAAACGCCAGGGAAGTGGGAAGATACTGATCACCCAAATAACTCTGCAGAGCAGAGCACTGAGGAAGAGGTTACGGGGTTCTCCAGACACATCAAAGCTTTACCTCCAGCTGACACCAGTAACTCCTGTATTTACTGTGCCAAGAGGAGGGAGGGCTGAGGGAACCTGCCAGCCCCTGCCTTTGGTTATCAAAACACGGGTCCACACCCCCGGCAAAGCTCCTGGGAAGGTGTCAGTGATGGATCCCAGCCCTGCTGGGTCCTGCCCAGGTGGAGCAATGCCCGATGGAGCCATCAGGAGCTGCCTCATCCCAGCTTTCCACTGATCCCACCAGCCCAAAGCCCCTCCCGAGGCTCTGGGCAGGGTTAGGGCCTTGCTGGAATTTAACAACCCTCCATATTCCTGGGAAAGCAAATAAGAATTGCTGGTCAGGAGCCACCAGTAGCCACGAGCTCTTCCAGGGGATCCCAGGAAGAGGCAGCAGCTCTTGGCACGCAGGATGGGGCAGACACAAGCCAGGAGCCAAGGACCTGGTTCTGATCCAAACTAAACAGCTCCTCAGCCCCTCAGCCCAGGATCTCAGGACCACAAAGAGCAGAGAAACCCAACAAAGTCCCACGGAGAGCCTGGTTCCTGCCAGTCCCCCTGCCCAGGACCCCCAGACTGCCCAGCCTGGAGCCCTTGCAGCCACTCCAGCGGGGATGGGAGCACAGGGTGGCCCCGTGCAGTCCCTCCCATCTGTGATGGGTGTCCAGCTGACCTTCAAGGGAGATTGCAAAGCCTTATCTATTTACTCAGTCATTCTGCTGCAGGGAGGTGTCGGACACGGGGCCAGCTCTGTTTGTCACCAGCGTTTCCCCCTCCAGCCACCTCCGTGGCAGAGCTATTGATTAACTCCTCCGACTTCCCACCCAAGGGCTGGAGCTCAGGAATGAGCCCCAGCACCCTGCAAGGCTCCAGCACCCACCAGAGAGCCCCGAGCCCCGCGTGGCACCAGCACCCAGTGAAGAGCTGCTGCTCGGGCACCCAGGTGCTCGCAGCCAGCTGTGCCAAGCCCTGGGCGAACATCTGGGCAGGAGGGAAGCTGGCGAGGAGAGCGAGGTGCGCCGCTAATTTCCCTCTGCCAATTCATCAGCCGGCAACGTGCTCGGAATGAGAGCCCCTAATTAATTGCTCCTCCACATCCCCCCCAGCCCGGGCGGGCTCCCCGCCCCCTCCCGCGGCCCCTCGAACACGTTTGCTGGCATTTTCAAATCGGAGGCATCCTAATTACCGGAGAGTTATAACACCTTCCATTTCTCGCCCAGCGGACTGACACCCTGTCAAGAGCAAAGAGAATTGCCAGAGGTTTTGACAACACTAATTGCCCCTATAATCTAAAAACACAAAGGAGAGGCGATTAGTCGAGAGGGCCCCAGCTCTCGATCCGACACGAGGTTTTCACAATGTTACAAGAAAACAAAAGTGACGCTTTTTAGAGTTTGATGGCTGCTAACAAAAGCAGAATTATATTTTCATACAACCTTTGTCTGCATTAAATGGCTTTTTTTTTTCTTCCCCCCCCCCCACCCCCCCTGCATTCGGATGTGGAGCTGACACGGAGAAATGGTGGCGGATCCGTGTGGGGGTGAGGTGGGAACGGGGTGAACTTGAGAGGGGCATCTGAGCTCTGCTGCTTCCTTGGTTCCCGTGAAGAATTTCCCTCCAGTGTGGAAAACGTTCCTCTCCCAGTTAAGGTTTCCAGGGAAAGCAGCAACTTTTAGTAAAAGAGGAAATTCCCACTTACAGGAGGTTTTGCTCCCATTCATCCCACGCCCCAGTGCTGGGAATGTTCCAGCACTGCCTTGACCCCAATGTGGGCCAGCAAACCCCAGTGCTGGGGGCTGTCTGTCCCAAGCTCTGGTGACAGTGCCAGCTGCCTCTGCTGGGGACAGGGAGAGCTGCTGCTCTGGTAAAATGAGATGGGAATGGAAATGGGGTTGGAAATGTCCACCCCAACCTGCATCCATGGCCCTCAATGACAAGATTCCCTATGGCAGCATATGAGGCCAGCCTGGCATCCCCGGATAACAGCAGGATCTGGGCAGCAACTGCCTCAAAATCTGGGATGCAGGTGGTCAGCATGAGAGCTGAAGGGTGCCAGGCAGAGCAGCACAGGGGCTGTGAGGGGTGAGTGCCACCCAGCTGAGGGGTGAGTGTCACCCAGCTGCCACCAGCCCTGGACACCAGAGCAGCACAGAGGCTGTGAGGGGTGAGTGCCATCCAGCTGAGAGGTGAATGTCACCCAGCTGCCACCACCCCCAGGCATGGGAGCAGCCAGGAAATGTTCCTGCAGCCAGCACATCCCTCGGGAAGCAGGTCCCGGCAGCGGCCCCGGAGCAGCAGCAGCGGTGGCTGGGGACCAGCCCGACGCGTCACGAGCTGGCATCTGCCAGACACCGAGTCAGGAAGGGTTTGACTCACGCCTTGGCCGGCTGCCACCCCGCAGAAACTGCTTACTAACAGCTCTGGCTGCTCCCAGAAACACCCGGCGCTGCTCGGGCCGGCCAGCAGCATCTCCAGGGGCTGCTTTTCCAGGCGGGCCCGGCTGTAATCCCCGTGCCAGAGGACGGGGCGGGAGCAGCAGGCAGTGGGTGGAAAAGCAGGCAGGTATTCCAGGGAATATTCCCTCCCTGAGCCAAAGCCAGCTGAGGGAAGCAGGACTTGGCTGTGTGGAACGAGGCAGGATGGGGAGCGAGGCTCTTGAGAAATTTTTCCTAGATTTTTTTTTGGGTTGTTTTTACGGGAAGAAGATTGAACTCCCAGGCACAAGGCAGAGCGGGGGAAGCCGTGGCTCGGCGGCCTTGGCTCTCTGTCATCAGAGGGACGGTGCCCTCCTGACCCCGGGGACAGCTGGCTTGGCACGGCCTGGGGACATCCTCCATCAGCCTCCAAACATCCCTGCTCTGCCATCACCCGGGCTGGGAGGTCACCGCAGGAGCCACCGCGTCCCCAAGGGCCACACGTCACTGCCACGACGGGAAGAGGCAGCTCCTGCTCCGTGCTCAACCACGCAGCCCAGACCTGGTCCACCCATCCCTGCTGGCTCTGGGATCATGGATGAGCACCCCTCTCTCTCTCCAGAGGGTGATCCTGGTTTCCTGCAGAGCTCAGGGCTGCACATCCCTGCTCTGATCCAGTCTTGGGGTTTAACTCCCAGTTGGAAACAGCAGCAAACATGTTTGTGCTGGTTTTTTCTAATTTTAACCACTCTTTTCAAATCCAAACCAAACAGAAACAAATTGAGGAGACTGGGAACAGAAGGACAGAAACAACCACCAAAAACAGCTTCAAGCTGTGCTGTTTTAAGGGCAGGGGCTGAGCAAATCCCACCCCAGAGCACCCAATTCTCACAGGACAAGAGCAACCCCAACCCTCCTGGCACATCCCGGCCTCCCTTCCTGCACTCAGCATCCCTGGGTGAGCTCCAAGATCCAGCTGGCTCAGACAGCCTGGGAGTGCTCCCAGCGCCCGGGGCCAGCCAGTGATGCCACTGACACCGAGGTGACCCCTTGGGGTGACACAGGGCCACCCAAACACTGCTGTGCCACCTCTGGACCTCACCAGGCTGGGATGAGCCAATGCACTAAAATCTGCCCAGGGTCAGAGGAGAAATGAAGCTCAGCCCCACGTGCCAGGCTGGGTTTTGAGGCTGTGGGTGCTTTTAGGAACAATTTTAGGAATGCTCTGAACAGCCCCAGCACCAAAGGCTCGAGTGCCTGGGGTGGGGTGGCAGCAGGGTGAGCAGGTGAGGGGACACCAGCCTGGAGGACACCAGGCACTGATGTTCAGCTTCCTGTGAAGAAAAGGAGGAATCAATCCCCGGCATGTTCAGCCCAATGTGTATCCTCGTTAGAGCATCCTCATTAGCACATCCTCGTTAGCGCAGCCTTCCTGCTGGGGAGGCCCCAATCACACCTGGCTGGGCTCCAGTCGCTGCTTGGGGACAGTGGCAGCAGAGGTGACAGCACTGAGCCCCCTCCTCAGCGAGCCCCTGTCCCCCAGCACCACCTGGGCAGGGTCCCTACATCCCCTCTGTGAGCACGGGGTGCTGGCACTGCTCTGTCACTGATGTTCTACAGGGATTAAAGTGACTTTGCTCCTCTGTGAACCCAAAACACCGATCCCAGAGTGGGATGGTGGCAGTGGCACCGGGCTGGCAGAGCTGGGGGCTTTGGGATGGAGCAGGGACAGACAGGGATGCTCCAAGTTCAAATGGAAAAACCTCGGAGCGAGCCCAGACGGACAGGCTGCTGCTGGATTTTTTTCTCTCGGAGAGGCAACTCAGAAGGGCTGGTATTGATCTGTCTTCATTACCCATTTCACTCAAGTTTCAAATCAACAAAATACACTTTTCCGCTCTGCTGCCCTCCCCGCTGCAGCAGACAAAAGAAAAGCAATTTCCCGCAGTTTGCTCCAAACTCCTCTCCTCCCTTCCCTGGGTGCCCTCCAGCCCCTCTCCCCTTCCAGCCACTTGATCCAGCAGTGGCAGCTCTGAGGGCACCCAAAGAGGGCACCCAAAGAGGGCACCCCATCATTCCCAGGTGCCACTGACAACTCGGGGTGCTGCTTTTCCAGCACCTCCTCCCTCGGGTTTTCCTGGATCCCCTCAGGATCCCAGGGGGATCTGCTGCTCCCACCATCCCAGGATGACAATGCCCTGCAACACCAAAAGACCCCAAAAGCAACATTTTGTCAGTGTGCACGAAGTTTCCAAGAGTTTTAAACTTGTAAAGAGATAAACCTATTTTTAAATGTTTTAGAACACCCAAAGATGGGGGTTTGGGGTTTTTTTTTCCTTTCCTGCAGATGTAACTGGAGCAACAACATGAGACTGTCCACACACACCTCCAGGCATCTGTGGGAAGAGGGTCCCTACTCCAAAAACAAACCCCAGTCCAAGATGCTGCTGAGTCCAGCAGCTCCCTGCTTGTTTTTAAGCTCAGGCTGTCTGGAACGTCATTAATCCTGCTGGCTTGGTGCCCCAAAAATGTCACATCCCCATCAGTGGGGTGACAAGGACAGTGCATAGTGTGGGCAAGCATGGGGGTCTCCTGTTCTCCCTGCCAGCACTGGGACCCTCCTGCTCCAGGATTCCCCCAGGATTGGGGGCCAGGACCTAGCTGGCACAGAGCTGAGTGGAGACAAAATTCCCCATGGATGTGGAAATCCATTCCCAAACTTGTGGGGCTGCACACAGGCAGCGACCCGGGCTGGCACCCCCAAGGACACCCCAATTCCCAAACATTCCCATCCTGCTGTGCTTTCTGCTGCCTCCAAGCCAAGGAGGGCTGTGCTGGGACGCAGCCTTCCTCCTCCTCCTCCTCTTGCAGCCGTCCTGGCCAGTCTCATCCACACCACGGTGCCTTAGATAAACTTCCTTTCAAAGGAGTCTGCTTAATCCCCTATCTCCCCTCGGTCAGATCCCGCTCCAGCTGCCGGCGGGGCCGCGGGGGGAGGCACTGCTGAGTTATGAGCTATTTCTGACTCACGTCTACAACTTTCACAAGTCCTTTTTGCAACACGGAGAGAGAAAAAAAAGGGAGGAGGGGAGGGAGGGAGAGAGGAAAGAGATCCAGTTCGCTCCGGCGAAAGCCGCTGGCCAGATGGGCAGGCAGGGAGGGGAGGCTGGGGAGCAGCACGGGATGTTCGGCTGCATCCAGCCGGGAATACCAGGCAGAGCAAGGAGGGATAAGCAGCAGCAGCAGCAGGAGGAGGAGGAGTGACGGGACACACACCCACGGAGGGGAGCGAGGCGCCGGTTACCGGAATCTGACTTCACCCTCGCCGCCTTTGTCCTCTGCAGACATTTTCCATGCAGTGACTGCATTTCCTTCCTGCCGGCACCGCTGGAAAAAGCCGCCTGTTTGTGCCGTAGGAGCCCTGACTAATTCCCACTGCTCCCACCCAGCTGCTGTTTCCCAGTCTGGGGGGTTCTGGGCTCTCCTGACCCCCGGCAGCCCTGGGATTTGCTGCTGGATGGCTCAGCCATGCCCTGGCACTCCAAGCCAGGAGAGGATCCCGGGATTGCCCATCCCAGCCTGGCTCCTGCTGCCACCCAGCTCAGCCTGGCACAGGCAGGACCTCCAGCTCTGAGAGTGCTTGTGCTAATTACTTTCCTTTGTTAATTAAACCCACGTGGCTCTAATAAGGTAACCTGCTGTTCTCCGATAAATTTAATTAGCCTGAAGGGAGAGCCCCTCCGCACAGCTATTTAAATTGTCACTTCCCATCGCCTGGGCTTTGCTTCTCCCTGCCTCCCTCTCTCTCCAGATTTCACCCCTCTCCTGCCCATTTTCTGCCCTTTTCCTTTGGCAGAGAAGGGGAGCAAAGGGGAAATTCCCCATCCCTACAGGAGCAGGATGTGCCAACCCAAAGCTCATTTTCCTGCCCGTGCCACAAATCCCCATCCCAGCTGGGCCTCTGTCCCATCCTGGAGGACCTGCCCTGGCTCCAGCCCAAAAGATTGTTCCCTTTTCCAGCCCTGTGCCACCCTCACAGCACCCAGCATCAATCCTGGGATGTTCCAACCCTGGGAAACTCTGTCTCCAAAACACTGTCCCAAAAAGTGGTGACACACGGTGACCTCCCCTCCCCAACCATTCCCACACACAAAAAAACCTCCCAAGAAACTCCTGGAGATTTCCAGAGGATTCAACTCCTGGAGTGCTCCATCCACGGAGGTGACAGGAGTTTGTGCTGTCCCACAGCTGTGGCCCAGCCCTTCCCAGGAGTGGGGGGACAGGGGACACTCGGGGCTCACCTGCACCGCCGGCTGCTTGCCCTCGTTGCTGCTGGGGGAGCTGAGCCCCGTGGCCTGCTGCAGCAGGAACTGCCGAGCCACCTGCAGAGCCTGCAAGAGAGACACAGGGGTGGGCATGAGGAAGGCTCCCTCCTCCTCCAGCTCTGGTTCATTCTCCATGATTTCCCTCACGGGACGGGTTTGATGCACAAGGAGGGAAATGCTCCCTGGTGTTCCCTCCTGCCACACTAGTACAGACCAGCACTCTCCCAGCCCCCATGGGGACAATCCTGTCCTCTTCCCAAAATCCCCACCAGCAGCATTCCCATCTCACAAGGGAATAACTTCCAAACTTCCTTTATCCAAACAACTCAAAACTCAGATCCTTGAGGACAAACTGCAATTCACTGTTGGGAATCACTGATGGAAAAATCCTATGGTGCTGATCCCGAAGCTGCCTCAGCCTCAATGTTTTCTTTTTTCTTCAGGGCATTTTATTTTCCCTGTTATTACCAGGGATAGATGTGCATCGGTAATGCGAGCACAAAAACCCTGTGACAGTTATGACAGCTCAAGGTCTGATATTTTAATTACTTTTGGAAATGAAAACAGTAATTCCAGTTAAAAGCCAAGGTGGAGGAATCCACTCGGCAGCAGCTCAGGCCCGAGGCTCCCACCAGGATGGGTGCTGGAGCACTGGGTTTCACCCCCATCCCCACAGCAAATCCCTGAGCTTTAGCTGCTTTTCCAAGTGTCTTTTAGCAGAGTTTTCCATGGATTTGGCTTCTCCATGTGCAATTCCTGCCATGTTTGCAAGCACCACCTCACAGAGGAGACCCAGCGAGGGCAGGCCGCTGCTTCGGCCTGGCAAAAACCAGCACAGCAGGGATGGAAAACACAGGGGGGAAAAGCCTCTGGAAGAGAATTCCAGCACACAAAAAGTGCTTCACCAGACTTCTCCAGCACACAAAAAGTGCTGCACAAGTCTTCTCCTGGAATTTCCCTTCCCAAACCCAAGGCCTGGCCGGCCCGGGGTGCCAGCGAGCCCCCAGCGCCCGCCCGGCTTGGCCCCACCGCGCTGCCTCTCAGGGGGGAATTTAATTCACTTCCCGCTGGCTCCCTCACTTTGGTGTGCTCTGAAGCACGAAATTACAAAGATTTACAGGGAAAAAAACCCGACGTGGCCTCACAATTGCACACAGGGGCCTCTCTGGCAGCGCCCGGAGCTGCCCCCTCCCTCCCTGCCTCTGTCCCCTCTGCATCCCGAGCTGGGCTCAGCCTGTGGACAGGGATGAAACCTGCTCCAGGATCCCTCAGACAGGGATGAAACCTGCTCCAGGATCCCTCAGACAGGGATGAAACCTGCTCCAGGATCCCTCAGACAGGGATGAGACCTGCTCCAGGATCCCTCAGACAGGGATGAAACCTGCTGCAGGGCTGGACAGGGCACGTGGAGCACCCAGGATGGGATTTCGGGATGCAGAGCCACCTGTCAGCTGCATTTGTTGCCTGAACAAGGCAGGAGGAGCAGCCCGGTGGTGGGGAGATAAAGGTTTTCCATAGGGAAGTGTCAGTCAGAGCCTCTCCTTGGGCCTGAGGAGGTGGGAAGGAGAAGGAAGAGTTTCCCTGTGGGAGTAGATGGGATTTTACCTCTGTGAACCAGAGAGAAAATTATTTATAAATAAAAATCAACCCATATCCTATTTCCTGGTGTTATCCAGGAGTCATCAGCAACTCACCCAGAATGAATTCTTTGTGTCAAACTGCCTCTGATCACCAAATAATCCCTGAAAAAGTTTGCAAATGATCCCAGAAAAAGTTTGCAGATGATCCCATAAAAACTTTGTCTCAGACACAGCCAGGGCTGGTTTGGCTCTGCCCTCCCCAAGAGCAGCAGAATTCCAGGATGAGGAAGAGGATGGGGACCTGGACATTGCTGGGGGAGGCCCAGAACTTCTTTGGGATGTGGAACACACCTGGGATTGCAGGGAGAGGTGGGAGGGATGGGGAAAGGGGTCAGTGAACAGCCCAGCCATGCTGGGACCAATCCCACCCTGCTCCCAGGATCCCCCCAGACCCCACATCCCCAAATTCTCTGAACCATCCCCAACTCCAGACATCCTCCAGCCCCTTTTTCCAATTTCCACCCAGCCTACCTGAGGATTATCCTGATTTTTGCCCCTCCAGCCTGTGGGGCTCCACACACCCAACCCTGAATGTGCTGGATGCTTCTCCAGACCCCAGCAAGGGCAGATTTTGGCTGCTTTTTCCATGGTAAACACCACAAACTCCCATTCTGCCATGGGGAAACACCAGAAAAAAACCAAAACAAACCTGGCTGCAGCCCTGGATGAGCCCAGGGAGAGCTGCTCACACCACACCTTGGATTAATGTGGGATTAATCCTCATCCCTGCCTTTTCCTCCTCAAAACCTGCCCCAGCAGAGCCTCTCTGAGGCCTCCTGATTGGGAAGAAATGGGTCAAGAGCTCAAAAAAAAAAAAGTTTGGAAAGTATGGAGACACCCATGGGTCTTCTGAAAAGGAGGAGCCACAGCCTCCCCCCATAAAAATCAATCCAAAATAATCCCAAGACAAAGGAACATCTTGCTTGGGGTATTTGAAAGTGCCTCATTTACCAGATATTTCACTTTATGAGGATGGAGTTTTTAATCCAAACCTGGATGCTCCAGCTGCAAAGAGCTGCCCAAAATCAGCTGAGGGACTTTCCACCTGGATCAGAGCTTTATATGGTGTTTTACCTCCCAAAAAGAGAAAAAATACCTGAAAAATTCCATTAAAGCAAGAACGTTGCATGGAAAGAGGGAGAAATGGAATTTTTATCTTCCCTTTTCCCTCCAATCCTTTTGGAAGGTGGATAGACGTTGGGAAGGGCTGAAAAAAAAATGGTAAAAAAAAAAGGAAGATTTTTTACACTAACCTCATAAAAATGACATCGTCACATTCCAGAATTAGAGCCATTAAAACAACACACAGGGATATTTTTAGCTGGATATTAACAGTAAATGATGCCATATTGAGGAGCACTTCCACCAGCCCAGCCCTGGCCTTGCTTAACCAGAACCAAATGGCTCCAAGAGATCCAAATGAACGCAAAAATGACACAATTCCTCACAGGAAAATGAAAAAAAAAAAGCCCTTTTTACACCCAGCTCCGTGTCTGTGGCCCAGCCCCAGCTGTTCTGCCCTGCTCCAGTGCTCCTGGATTTTATTCCTCTGCTCCTGACTCCTCAATCCTCACAGGTGAGGGGTTAAATCCAGCCCCACTAATTAAGAGGACAAGGAACACCCTCCTGACAATCCCACCCCATGGAAAAAAGGGGGAAAATGGGGGGAAAGGGAAAAAAAATGGGAGAAAAAAGGGAAAAAAGAGGAAAAAAGGGGGGGAAAGAGGAGAAAAAAGGGGAAAAAGTAGGGAAAAAAGAGGAAAAAAAAGTAGGAAAAAGGGGGAGAAAAAAGGGGGAAGAAGGGAAAAACTGCTCCTGCATTTGTCCTCAGTGAAATATTAAATATGAATCAGGGAAGTGAAGAGAGAGATGAGTTTCACTTAAGTGCTCCGGCCTCGTTTTTATCTTAAATACCCTAATAATAGAGGATTACACAATATATTTGAGATGTGATCACATGTTTTATGGAATGGTATCTCTCCCAGGGCAGCAAAGTGCCTCTCCTCCCCCTCCACACCCTTCCCCAACTCCCAAAAAAGTCCCGTTTGCTCCTTCTCCAAAACAAGTCTTATTTTTGTTTATTCCTCCCCGTTTCTTTGACGTCCGTCTGCAGCAGGCTGCAATTTTTGGGGTATTTTTTACACCATGAAACAACCCCAAACAACGCCAGAGCAGCTGGATTTTCTGGATGGTTCCTTTTTCATGGATTTAGAGCTGGAAGGAGCTCCCGTGGGGGGCCACGCTCAGGATTGTCCCCTTGCTTCTCCCAGGACATTCCTGCTCCACGAGGTTTGCACGGATTTGGGTTCTCTGTGTGGAACTCTGCCGTGTCTGCAAGGATCTTCTCCCATCCTTTCCCTCCATTCCCTGCACCCCAAACCTGCAGTGACCCCCTGGATTTAAACACCAGCTGCTGGCTAAAAGTTGGAATTTTTTTGCAGCAATTCAGCAAAAAAAACCACCCTGGAAAACCCCAAATCGTGGCTGAGCAGCGCTTTATTCCCACTCCTAAAAATCCAGAGGATCCCCCACCACAGGGATGTGCCACCCCCATCACCTCACACCCCCTTTCCTTCCTCTCCTGGGAATTCCGGGGGGATCCAGCCTGGCAGTAGGGGCTGCTGGATCCCTCTGGAGCCTGGCAGTGCTGGAGGTCCCTCCACGTTCCCACAGCAACAGTGGGGACAGGGGGGTCCCGGGCCGGGGGCTGCCCCCCCAGTGCCCCCAGGCGACCTCTCCCCTCTGCCAGCCCCGCTTTGCACAAAGAGGGTGTGAGCTATTGAGGCTTTTCAGCCCCTTCCCGAGCATTGAAATCCAGGGATTTAACCCCAGCGGCGGCAGAGAGAGGAGAGGAGGAGGAGGAGGAGGAGGGAGGAAGGGGAGGGGGATGCCCTTTCCACACCCCACCGGCCGCCTGCTCTCCCCTTCCAGGCTCTTTCCTTCCATTCTCTCTCTTTCCATTCTCTCTCCTTCCATTCTCTCTTTCCATTCTCTCTCTTTCCATTCTCTCCTTCCATTCTCTCTCCTCCATTCTCTGTCCTCCATTCTCTCTCTTTCCATTCTCTCCCCTTCCATTCTCTCTCCTCCATTCTCTCTCCTTCCATTCTCTCTCCTTCCATTCTCTCCCCTTCCAGGCTCTCCGGGATGCTCAGAAGTGCCATGGATTGGGGACTGGGAAGGATGAGGATGGTGAGGGAATGTTGAGCTCCAGACTGGAGCAGAGCTGCGTGACCCTGTCTCGGCAATCCTGCCACACAGACACATCTCCTTGCTCTGGGGACACCCCAAAACAAAGTCCCTCAGCACCCCAAAACACCCCCATGCCCTCAACATCCCACCCACCTCGAGGCAGCACCCTTGGAGAGGAGCTTTAACCCAAAAATTCCCCACAAAGACCTGTTTGGCCTCACACTTGTAAAAGCAGCGAGGTCACGGGCACTGGAAAAGGTAAAATCCAGGCCCAAAGGGGAGCAGGAGCTCCCAGGAGCTGCAGCTCCCACAGAAATCCCCACAGACACAGAGCTTTGGGCACACCAGGACCCAAAGCTGGCTTCCCAAGGTTCCTCAGGGAGGATTTCATAAAGTCCAAGGAGAGCCAGGATTGAGTGCTGCCATTCCAGGATGAGGGAGTGAGCACACGGGAGAGCCCGGGGAGAACGCTGCCTGCTCCCGGGGATGGAGCAAAGCCTCCATCAAGCACCTAATTGTCCAAAACTCCTGCTGTGGGGACATTTATTCCTGACCCCAGCTGGTGCTCAGCCTGCTCCCTGAAGCAGGAAGATGGATAATCCTTGGGATAGGTTCTCCCCCTTCCTCAGGTGCTGTCACTTGGGGTTTTTTTGGAAGTTCACCAAACTCTCTGCTTTAATAATCCCACGTGCCAGCCAGCTTCCCACCAGGAGAAACACCAGGGGGTGAAATTAAACATCAGCATCCACCAGGAGCGCCCACAAGGACGGAAAACCCGATTTTCTGGAGGAGATCCCCCATTTCACAGCCACGATTTGCACCTTTTTGGCCGGGGGGGAGCACGGATCTCCCGTTATCCGCTGGAATTCCGGGAGGGAGAGCAGGGAAATGCCATGGGGGTGAAATTAAACATCAGCATCCACCAGGAGCATACAAGGACAGAAAACCCGATTTTCTGGAGGAGCTCCCCCATTTCACAGCCACGATTTGCACCTTTTTGGCTGGAGGTGGGCACGGATCTCCCGTTATGCGCTGGAATTCCGGGAGGGAGAGCAGGCAGCTCCTCGGAGGGGCACTGGCAGCGGCATTACACGCATGATTACCCTTTGGATGCGGGGAACAGGGGCTTAGCGGCGTGCGGAACGCCTGTTATCCAGGTAATGGATTTACAGCACTCCCTACTAAAGTATCAGACACAGCAATTTTTTACAGCTTTCACGCTGGAATTTATGGCTCAGGGAGGCGATCTCCGTACGAGGCGAGGGATCATTGCCTTATTTAGTAGCTGAGCAGGGAAATTGATGTTTTTTTGCCAAAGTTTGTTTGGAAAGGTAAGCTGCAGGCACGTCCCCAGGGCTGAGAGGGGATGCGTGTGGCGGGGGACACGTGTGGCAGGGGCTACCCCAGGGGCACATCCAGAGCTGCTGCACACACATGTCGCTGTCACACGTGTCCTGGGCCATGTGGGTGAGGTTCAATCTCCAGGAGCCCGCGGGAATGGGAAAGCAGATCCTGGAAAACCAAAATCCTTACAGGGAGGAGCTGCGCCAGGGTTTTTGGTGTCCCAGCCCCTCAGACTGATGGTGGGCAGAGCAGGCAGGACCTTCCACCAAAAACAAACTCCAACCCCAGGGATGGATGGGCTCTGCTTCCCAAGGGATGTGGGACAAGAACAACCCACTGGTTTTTGGGGCATCTCAACCACGAATGCCCAAACCTGGTGGAACCCAAGCACAAAGCACGGCAAAACCTGACGTTGTCCCCAAACCACACCCTTGAAGGACCCCTGTGCCTGTGTGAAGGATTGAAGGGACAGGTTGCCCGTCCTACCTGCTGCTGCTGGAAGTGCAGGAGCTCCACGGGGCTCATCTCTCCGTTGGCCTCGGCTCCGGCGGCTCCGTCGCGGCCGCCGCCCCCGGGGCCGCCCCCGCTGCCGCCGCCGCCATCGGGCTGATTGCTCAGGCTGCTCACCCCGTTCTGCGCCGAGGGCGTGGAGCGGATCGTCTCCGAGGCTGATTCAACCATCATGACTCGCTAGCAGGACCTGGAGAGGGGAAAGAAGAGCCTGAGAACGGGGGCTGAGGTTGCTGGCTGTCCCCGGTCCCACTGGGATGGGATGTCAAACCGTGTTGGGTTTTGGTTGTGTTCGGTTCACCCCAAAAAAATAAATGTGGAGCTGCTACAAACGCGCTGCTAAGCAAAGTAAGTGCAACCCACTCCATAGGAAAACACACAATTCCAGCTTTCCCTGAGCCTGTGCAAGGCACAGAGCTCCAGGAATCCGTTTGTTTTCCCCAAATCCCAAAGTACTTCATGGTGAGAGTGAGGCTGGACATCAAGCACAGAGAACCCGCACCTTGGACTCCACCCTGAAAATCCTAACAAAGTTGAAACGTTCCCTCCAATGCTTCATCTCCCAGCAAACCACCACTTCCCAGCTGGAAAAACCACCTGGCAGAAGGTGCCAGGCTGAGGAAACCCAAAGGAACGGCAGAGCTGAGATGTGGGAAGGAGAACCCGGCAGAACACGGGTTGGAAAATCCTTCCCTTCTCCCAGTTTTTGCTCAGTGGGCTCGGATGAGTGGCAGGTTGGTGATTGTGAAGCTGAGGGTGCCTTTTGCTGGGAGAAACTCCTGGATTTGGGCTGGCACTGGAGGGAACAGGACCAGCACACCCAGCCCTGGTCTCTGCCACATCCAGCCGGTGCCACATCCAGCCCTGAGACAAAAAAGTGGCAGCACGGAATCCACCCAGGAGTGAGAGTCTCTCCCTCCTTCCCAAGATGTTTTTCTCCATGGAAAAGCAGTTTTATTTCCACACCCCTCCATCCCACCAGCACAGGCTCAGCGTTCACCCGCCACCGCTCGCGGAGTTTGTAACAAGATGGGAACAAAAACAGAGGGATGGGATGAAAAAACACCACCCCCCTTTCTCTTTCCACCCTCTTTTCTTCCCTATTTCCCCCCTCCACACCCCAAAAGGCAGCGAGACAAACCAGGAACAACATAATTGCTGAAATGTGGCGTGTAATAATCGCTATTCAGGGGCTGATCATTCATATTAAACAGGGAGCAGCGAGCTGCTCATTTGCATGTTGGAGATTATCTGCATTTCAAAAGTCATTTCCGCAGGGGATATGAGTGACATCCATTCCCAAGGGGAGCTCCTGGCTCCCTCCCACTGTCCCAGGGCTCTGGGGTGACACACCGGTGGCTGTGGGACAGCTCAAGGTTAAGGGGATTACTGGGATTTGGGTTTGGTTGGAGCAGCTTCCCAACGATGGGATGCGTACAGGATGCTGCCTTAGGAGCAAAAATCTGGAATAAACCCTCACTTTTTCCTTAAAACTACATTATTTTCTTCCCCACTTTGAATTTCAAGGATTTCAGGTTCAGAAATATGAAATTATTGCTGCTCCTATTCCCATTTTCCCTCTGAAATCCACGGGGAACGCTTCGTGTCCGACACTCGAACGGCATCACCAGGGTCAGAAACTCATCAGGATTCCAGCAGGGATTTGACTTTTACATGGAGAACAGGAATATCCAGCGTTACAACAGGAAGTATTAAAAAAGAAAAAAAAAAAAAAAAGAAAGAAAAAAAGACAGTTTTGGAAAGGATATAAAACTTTCCTGGCTTTGGGCATAAACTGGAGTTTAACTGTTGGGAATTAGGAGGAAATCTCTGCTGGTGGAGGAGCCCTGGGCTCGCTCTGGTGGTTCCAGCCCCTGCCAGAGGCGGGATGCTGGAGCAGATTCCTGCAGCCAGGGAGATTCCCGGAGCTGGGGACACCGGGCCAGCTGAGTTCCCTCTCCAAGTCCTGTAAAACTCCACTTCCCGTTCCCAAACCCCTCTGGGATGCTGGAGTGTCTGGGATCCCAACAACGCTGCGAGGGAAGTCATAAAAGAAAGTCATCATCATCATAATGGAAATATTTCCATTCCTATAAAAAGTTTTACAAAACCTTAAAGAAAAAAAAAAAGAAAGGGGAAAATAAAAACGAAGCCGGTGTCTGCGAGGTTATGAAGTGGATTTAAATTAGGAACAAGCACTTTTCCAGCCAGGACGGATCTGGGATGAGTGGGAAGAGCAGAACTGGGCTGAACGATGCCAGAGCACACGTGCAGCCCTGCACAGAGCCGGGAGGGATCCGCAGCATCCCAGCTCCTGCTGCTCGTCCCTCGCAGTTCAAACACAGCCAGTATTCCAGGGATTCTCCTCCACGGCACCCAGAGGGGCTCAGCAGGATCAGACCTTCCCCCAGGCAGAGAGGCAGGGACGGTGCCCAGACAGTCAGCGGGAAGATCCAACAACACCCACATCCAGAGGGAAAGGGTGGGTTTGGTTAAAAGGGGAGGGAGGAGCCCCCTCCAACGGCAACAGCAACAGAAGCTGCACAAATGGATCGTTAATTACCATTAATTACCATTTCAGACTCGCTGAACCACCGCTCTGCGTTTTTTGTTCCCCTCTTTTATCCAACCACGCACCTTCCGCAGGACAAAGGGAAGGAAACGGAGAATTACAAACGGAGCAACGAATCCCCCTGCCTTCGGCAGGACCATATGGCAACGAGGGTGTATTAATTACCGTGGCTTTTAATTAACAATTGCTTCATCTGAGCAGTAACATTTCCTTGACATCCCCCGACTCGCCGCTAACCTGCGCGGAGCCCGCGCCATCCCAGTCATCAATCCCGGTTTATTGACATCCATCCCTCCCGCAAACAGGCCCGATCCCAGGGTTTTCCAATTAACACCTCCGCACTCTCTAATTAGCGCAATTAACAGGCTGATGGATGCCCGGAGCTTCCCTGGCAGGGAGGGACTGGGGACACGGATCCCACCGCGTGTGCCACGATTCCCGTGGGAACACCACGTGTGTGCCGTGCCACGGAGCCTTCCAGAAGGGGAGGATGGACACGGAGGTGACCAAAACCACGGCCTCAAAGCAATGGATGTGCGATTTTGGGAGCAGCAAGAGCAGATGAAGCAGTGATTTGCTCCCAAGGAATTCTGGGCCATCCAGGCCCGTCCGAAGCAATGCCACTGCTCCACCTGATTCCAAGGACAGGAAAATTCAATGGCACTTCCCAGCCCCCAGGACCTGCTGGAACAGCCACAGCCACACCACGAGCTCCTCAGAAACCACTGCCCCAACACCAATTTCAGCAGCTTTCCCTATTTTTCATTATCCTTGCACCGCAGCCCTCGGCAGCTCTGTAATTTTGGGCTGCCCTTCGCGGGCCATGCACGGACCCAGTGTCACCTCCACCCTCCTGTCCCTGTCCTCGAGTCCCCATCCCCAACCACTGTGGGTTACCCTGCCCTGAGTTTCCCCAGCCACAAACTCCAAGAGCTCCTAAACCATCGCCCAGGAAGGAGGGATGAGGAATAACAGCAGGAAACACCCCTGGGAAAACTCTCCCGTCACATCTCCACAAGCTGGGACAGCACAGGTGACATGACACAAGCTGATACTGAGATCTTCCAGAGGCTGTTTCCACCATTCCCACCACATCCCAGTCCCAAAGCAGTATTCCAGAACCTTCCTCCCAGGACACGGAGGGGAGCAGGCGGCCTCTCCCCTGGGTACCGGCAGATCCCAAAGGAGCACGGACCCAGCAAATCCCCCAAAGCCCTCAGAAATCTGCAGGATGCTCCTCTGCACAGCTGGAAGGAGAAGAGGACTCAGGAAAGCTGAATCCCAGGCACTGGATCTGCTCCCAGCTACGGAAAGTTGAGCAACCTGCCCATCCTGCTCCGGCACCGCGAGGCTTTAGGAAGCGGCTGCTAATCCTAAAAGGCTTCGCTGGAAGAGAAGCAGCAGCCCAGGATTGCTCCAAGAGTGGCTTTTTACCCTTTAATTAACACATAAACACATGGAAATGTGGAAAGGGGATTAAAATAAAAGTCTGGGGGAGCTGAGATGAATCCGGAGCATTACTGTAAATTAGAAGATATTTAAGGAACCAGGGACCGGCTAAGCCCAGGCACTGCTTTAATGGGATCTCACCTCTGGGCACTTTCATCTCCCACTTTCATCTCGCTCCCAGCAACTTCTTTGGGAAGAGCCAACCTCTGGTGCTTCACCTTCACCCCCTGGCTCTCCTCACCTGCCTCGGTGCCAGCCCAGCCCAGCTACACTCGTGGGCACAGGGACTGGCAGGCAGTGAGGAGCCTTTGCTGCTCCATGGAAACCAGGCAGGGATGGCCACAGCGAGGTTCTGCTCCCCCCAAAAATCTGGGATCCTTGGATCAGCTCACTCAGAGAGCTGGAGAGCACCTGGAGGTGTGAGGATTCCAACATGGGAATCCCTGGGATTGTTCCTGTGCTCCTTGCAAGCCCCACCTGCCTCTCCAAAACCTGTCACCCCCGGAGCACCCCTCGCCCTCCAGAGCTGCCCACCCCACAGGAGATCCCATTCCCAGAGACACCAATGCCCGCCTGGCACCTCTCCCATTCCCTTCCAAGCTTCGAGGAATACAAACCCCCTCCCGGAGTGGGTGTGGGACAGGCTGGAGGTGGCCAGGCCGCTGCTGGGACAGCGGGGCTGCTGCTCCATCCCGGAGCACGTGCCGGGCACCGGGGCTGCTGCCCCATCCTGCTCCATCCCGCCTTCCCTCGCTGTGCTCTTGAAAAGATTAAAAAAAAAAAGGAACCCCACTCCATCTCATTAAGAAAGTAAACACAAGAGCCGTCTAAGTGTCTAATTAAGCTTCTAATTAGTCCCTGCTTGTTACTAATGCAAATTAGATTACGGCGCTTAACTACAGCATGTCCACAACACCCTTGTTAATTGCGGCCTTTTGAAATTAAATTACTCCCTAATTAGCATATCAAAGCCATTGATTCGGAGCCAGGAAAGATGAGGGCAGGAGGAAGCCTAACGCCAAGTTTTGTTAATCAGGGACGTCTAATTAAATAGTGACGTGGAGCACGGGGCTCCCACCTCGCTGCTCCGGAGCCACCACACGTGGGGACCTGGGGACAGCCCCTCGGTGGGTGCTGGTGGTCTCTGCACCCACCACGGGGCACTGCTG